AGCATTGCCCTGGCCCCTGTCGCTTACCTGTGTATACGTTTTGCTCATTGGTCCTGTTTTGGTTCTAGGGCTAGTGCATGCAGGGCTAGTTTGTGTATCTTTATATAGCACTGCTTTCTGCTGCATAGATTTAACTTTAGAGTTCCCAACCCCATAAAAGAAGTTCCTGGCATTGTCTTGGGAACAATGGTCTCAATCTTAGGGTCAGATTCTGATGTGTAAATCCCCAAAACATATTTGGTTACACAAGTGTAAAGTTTGTATGAGTGAAGAATCATGTCCTCTGAGTCCAGAATTTGCCTACAAATATTAGATACAAGCCAAAAGCAAGTACATTGCAGATAACTTTTAAAAAATTTGTGTTCTTATATGATGTCATATATTGGGATACTTTTTTTCTTATTTCTAAAACGTATTTTATTAATTCCATTTTATTTTGCAGAAGCTTCTATATCAAAAGTCTATGTTGCTAGAGTTTATCTTACCCATATGAATTCTGATTTGCTAAAGTTTTGCTCTCTGTTTTTATCCTGACACAATTATTTCTGCATATTCCATGGGTGGTCTGCAGCTTGTATTCTCCAAAGGAAATACCCTTTCAGTGGGCCCATTTGTCTTAGTATTTAGTAGCATACAATATGAATGGTAAGAAAATCTGGGAACATTTATTATAGATTATCATAACTGGAGAAAACTGTATTAACATGTGCTCACCACTCACTATTGAAATAGGCATGTTCCATGGGGTCTGAAAACATTTGGTGACAAAGTTGAGACAACTCATAGGAAAAATCACATATCATTTTAACAACAATAACAACAAAGATATGAAACCAGTATTTTTTTTACATAGCGACCAAAGTGTGCTAAGGGTCTGTGGTACACCTTAAAAAGTCTAACTGCTACACACATCGTTCTCAAAACCAGAAAAAAGGGTAAAATTACATTTCTTACAGCATTCCCTTCTTTCAACCTCCCAACAATTTTTAAATGGGAGAGATGACTCCTTTTTCTCATGTTATGTCCAGTTATGCCTTAGGACTAGACTGAAACTTTGCTTTTCACCATGTGTTAAACTGACTCATCTCAAGAGCAGCAAGGAAAAGAGTAACAGCTCTTTCTTGGTCCATTCCTTGCCGCAGTGCAGCAGTAATGCACTTACCAAACAGAGATAATTTGTTTTCATTGCATTATTGTACTGAATTTCATGTTGGTAGTGACAATGGTGAAAAGGCAAGTTAGTCGAGGCTTCACTCAGCCCATACCCACAGATCTTTCCCTCCTCACCTGTATACAGAGCAACAAATCTGGGCAGATTTGGCCATATTAATGGGATTAGAATCCAGGTAAATCATAGATCTCAAAAAGGAATTGAAAATGGAGGATCACAGACAAGGAGGGTTGTTTCTGACTGGGTCCTGCATAATTATTATGATTAATTATTAATTGCATTGTAACACCTAGGATTCTGAGTAATGGACCAAAACCCCATTGTAATCGGCACAGATCCCCACCCCCACTCACCACCCTCCAATGCCTGCTCAAAATCGCTTACAATTAAAATAGAAAACAAGACATATAGCTACATACAGATGG